TTGTATTACGTAATTATCGCCAATTATTACCGCGCAGGTGCATATTTTTTCATCCCTTGTCTCACCATCCTCTCCTTCACTCTTCCCCCTTCACTATCCGTCCTCAACCCCAGCGTATTTTCTGTCTCACTATCATTTTTACTGTATTCAAGATTGAGTAACCAACCTCCCTCCCTTATCACCAACCACTTTGTTTCTCTCTGGTTTCATTTTTTTTTTTCTTTCATTTCTTCTTTCTCTCTTTCTCTCTCTCTCTCTCTCCCTCTCTCTTCCTCTCTCCCTCTGTCTGTCTGTTGGTCTGCCTCTCTCTCTCTCCAACTCTCTCTCTCTCTCTCTCTCTCTCTCTCTCTCTCTCTCTCTCTCTCTCTCTCTCTCTCTCTCTCTCTCTCTCTCTCTCTCTCTCTCTCATCTTTCTCTCATCTTTCTCCCATCCCTAAAACCATATCCAATTTCTACCCCAGGTTATCCGCTAACACGTTATTCCTAATCTTTATCCTATTCCCTCACCTCGCATCTGGCCTCATTAAAGTCCGCTATCCCTCCATTCCGCCCCTATCATATCCTCATCGTCCTCATAATCACCCTTCAACAACCCCATCGCCCCTTCCTCCTCCACCTCCTCCTCCTCCCTTTATCGCGCTCTCTCTCATTATATTTCACTACACTGCTCCGGCTCGTCACCATATCCCCATTACAGTGCTGATTAGTCTGAGGTCGATTCTCACCATCTTTCGGAGCAATGTTTTTCACTATCCCTCTCTCTGTTTTTCACTATCCCTCTCTCTGTTTTTCACTATCCCTCTCTCTGTCTTGGCAATGTTTTTCACTATCCCTCTCTCTGTCTTCGCAATGTTTTTCACTATCCTTCTCTCTGTCTTTGCAATGTTTTTCACTATCCCTCTCTCTGTCTTCTCTCTTGTCACCACATTCATCACACCCTTTCACCATACTCGCCATCATGGGGAACGTCGCCAACAACCATGAGGGGGGAGGGGGGGTAAAAACCAATTACCATATATTCCGAAACTTTGGATTTTCATAGCAAAAAATATCGCAAAAATTGACGCTGATGGGAGATGGGGCATGTATGGGAGGAAGGGAGAGAGAGAGAGAGAGAGAGAGAGAGAGAGAGAGAGAGAGAGAGAGAGAGAGAGAGAGAGAGAGAGAGAGAGAGAGAGAGAGAGAGAGAGGAGGGGGGGGGGGATGCGAGTACGACGGAGGTTAAATATGGTAAAGTGTGGCGGGGTGAGGGGGGGGGAGGGGGAGGAGGGAGGGATAAAAAAAGGGATAGTAATATTAGGGAAAGTGGAGACTGTATATGTCAAATATCACGTGATAATCATTTTTACTGCTAACGATCTTCGTCAAAACGTAAATCCCGCTTGCTCTCATAAATCCTCATCCATTTACTCATGCAGTTCTTCAGACATTGCCTACACACTCGGATGAAAACTTTATTTTTTTTCTCTTCCCACCTTTATACAAAGAGAAATGAAAAAAAAAAGTTAGCATTCCCCCTCTACGGCGAATCTGTCCTCGATGATAAAGCCCTCCATTAAAAGGCGCGAACTTCTGACCCGGTGCGGGCGACGTCTTCTCCGTCAGCGCCATTTTGGGCCGGCGGCTGGAGGCTTCCTCTCGATCTCGGCCGCTTCCGCCTCCCGCTCCTGTAGCTCGGGCGGCTGGCGAGCCTTTGGATTCAGGCAATGATACACATACATGCACAAGTACACACACACACACACACACACACACACATACACACACACACACACACACACACACACACACACACACACACGCACGCACGCAAGCGCACGCACACACACACACACAAACACACACACACGCGCGCGCGCGCACCCCCCTCTGTCTGTCTCTCTTTCTCTCTCTCTTTCACCCTCTGTCTCTCTTTCACCCTCTGTCTCTCTCTCGCTCTCTGTCTCTCTCTCACCCTCTGTCTCTCTTTCTCTCTCTCACTAACTCTCTCTTTCACTAACTCTCTTTCTCATTAACTCTCTTTCTCTCTCTCACACACTCTCTTTCTCTCTCCTTCTATCTTCCCTCTCTTCCCATCCCCCCCCCCTCTCTCTCTCTCTCCCTCCTTTCCCCTTTCCTCTTCTCTTCCACATTCTCTTGCTCTTCATGTTACATATTCTCTTCCTTCTCCGTTCGTATTCCCTTTCCCTTTCCCTTTCTCTCTCTCTTTCTCTTTCCCTTTCCTTCTCCCTCTTTCTCTCCCCTTCTGATTCCCCATCCATCCCTCTTTCTCTCTATCCTCTCCTTCTCTTCTATCCCCTCTCTTCTTTTCATTCTCCCTCCTCTTACCCCATATTTTCACCTCTTCCCCTCCTCTCCCTCCCCATTGCTCAGTCTCTCCACATAAGCACCAAGTCCACGTGCAAGTGTGCAATAGTTAAAACTAAATGCATAATGTTACTCTGGGCTTAATTACATGCTTATTATCCACGAGGATCACACTCACAAGCACGGCACCGGACAATGGAAGTTCACATTAGGACTCGAAACACAGGACTCCCTCTCTCATTCCTTTTCTCCACTTCCTTCTCGAAGTCTTTCCCTCTGCCTCCCTGACTCGCTATCTCTCTCCCCACTTAACTCCCTTCTTTCCCTTCCCTTTCTTTCTTTCTTTATTTATGAAGATGTTTATTTATTCATTCAGTCTTCTCTCGCTCCCTTCTTCCCTGCTTCCCTCTCTCCTTCCTGTCCTCTCCCTACTTCCTTCTCCCTTCCCTTCCCAACTTGCTCCCTCGCCTCCTCCTTCCCTCCCTTCCCCCCCTTCCCTCCCTTCCCCCTCCTTCCCTCCTTTCCTTTCTTCTTTCCTTATTTACTATTATCCAGCGATCCTGCCTCCTCCTTGCCACCCACTCAAGGATACAAACACGGGCCAGCGAACACAGCCTGCGTCTATCATGTTAAAAGCTTCCGTTCTCTGTAGTATACACGAAAAAAAAAGAAAATTTATACAATCATGAATTTTTTAAAAGGGGGTTCAGAACTGTTACTTGAATGGGTCTCCTGGTAGAGGCCCATAAATTTAGGGGAAATTGTATGCAGACGTGAATGTAGGGAGAGAGAAAGACATTTTGGGAGATTTCAGGACGGTAGAGACGCCCGTGCAACCTAGAGTGACGTCCGAGCGTGTTTGTGTGTGTGCCATACATACATACATATATGCATTCATACTTACGTATAAGTGTACGTGTACGTGTGTGTGTGTGTGTGTGTGTGTGTGTGTGTGTGTGTGTGTGTGTGTGTGTGTGTGTGTGTGTGTGTGTGTGTGTGTGTGTGTGTGTGTGTGTGTGTGTGTTTGTGTGTGTGTGTGTGTGTGTGTGTATGTATATATATATATATATATATATATATATATATATATATATATATATATATATATATATACATATATATATATATATACATATATATATATATATATACATATATATATATATATATATATATATATATATATATATATATATATATATATATATATATTCATATACACAAACACTAACATATGTAAATACATGTAAAGATAAACATGTGTACAAATATTCAGATATGAGCATTAATGCACGGCCGCAATTACATAAAACTAAATGCGACACCCGAATTACCGCGCGTGTAATATCTGCCATTATCTATTACAACACCTCCTCGCATCCTCCCCACATTTTTTCCTTGACTTGAATTACATATTCCTTCCGCAAATCTAAAAAGTTCAGCGTTATTGCAGTTTAGCTACAGTTACGGCTCCGTGTCTGGCGCATACATGTTTTAGCCACAGGGGGCGCTAGGATCTCAGCCCTGTGATGTCTTGGCTGTCGTTCCATGCGTCTTGTTTGGGTAAAGTGTTGTATTTCGTATTCTTACATTAGTTTTTTTTATTTCTGCATGATTATTGTACTGAAAGATACAACTGTGTGAATAGGTGTTTTGTGTCTGTCTGTCTGTGTCTATCTATCTATCTATCTGTCTGTCTATCTATCTATCTATCTATCTATCTATCTATCTATCTATCTATCTATCTATCTATCTATCTATCTATCTATCTATCTATCTATCTATCTATCTATCTGTCTGTCTGTCTGTCTGTCTGCCTGCCTGCCTGCCTGTCTATCTATCAATCTATCATATATTTATCTGTCTGTCTGTCTGCCTGTCTGTCTATCCTTTTATCTGTCTGTCTGTGTGTATCTATCTATTTATCTATCTGTCTGTCTGTCTGTCTGTCTATCTATCAATCTATCATCTATTTATCTGTCTGTCTGTCTGCCTGTCTGTCTGCCCGTCTGTCTATCCTTTTATCTGTCTGTCCGTCTGTTCCGGTCCCTCACTTAGCCATTTACTCGAATTCACTGAATCCGTGACTGGTAGGCAGTATTTACAACATTACCTTCCAACTCCTTGGACTCTCTTTCTCCGAATTTCCAAAATGAAGTCGATGAGCTTCATGATTTTTTTTTTCCTTGAGCGTAATCATCTGCTAATTAAGCGACTAGGCTATTAGCGGTTAATCTTTCCGCCTCTTAGCACTGTGAGCTGCCTGGCGATCTACGTTTTTCTTTCGTTTAATGCATTCGTCTACATGCTTTTGCTTGTCCACAGTCTCTATTTCTTGATCTTTGTCTTTCATATCAATATTACATTTAAATGATAGTATACAGTCATATCTTCTAGAACTTCAGATAAAACAAAAAAGTAACATAGCACTTCGTACTTCAAGCTAGCTGGCCTAAACTAGTGTATCTCACAAAACATCGGAGTATGTAAAATGCGGGTAGCAAACACCGTAGACTTTGTGACACGCGCCGTCGCATTAAATTTTGTGATCTTGTCATAAATCTACAGTACCTCCTATTTTTCATCTTACAACGGCTTTTTACTTAATAATCGTTCTAGGTTGGAGAATATACATCCGGCATCTATTAGTGTGTGTGTGTGTGTGTGTGTGTGTGTGTGTGTGTGTGTGTGTG